GCCTCGGCCGTCCTCACGGTTTAAGGGTTTAGGGTTTAAGGCTTTCGGGTTTAGGGTTTAGGGTTTTAGGGTTTAGGGTTTAGGGTTTAGGGTTTAGGGTTTAGGATTTAGGATTTAGGGTTTAGGGTTTACTTGGACCCCAAAGAACCTACCTTTTTGGGGTTCCTTATTATGAATTCTTTATATAAGTCCTTAAAAAGGTAGGTTAATTGGGGTTAAGGTAGGGATTCAAGGCCCTTGGGCTTGGCATAGTAGCAACGCAACTTGGTTCATGACTGTTGGCTACTAGGGTTATCTTGGGCTAAACCCCCCAAGAGCTATAGAATACCGAACCCTCTGCCTTAAGAAAAGAGGCTGTGGGTTTCCCTTGGTAGCATCCCAAAGTTTTAGTTTTGGAGGTTAGGAACTAGGGTTTCGGGTTTAGGAATTAGGTTTAGGTCATTTAAAGAGGGTTTCTCAGACAGGTGGATCGCCCGTCGTTCAACGCCCTTCACCTCTCAGCGGCCTTTACGCGCTTGGCCTTCTTCGCGAAGCGACGGAAGCTGAACGCTGCAGCTGTTCGGAGCCCTTTGTGGACCAGGTTGTTGGCCAGACTCCACCTAATAAAGGGAGTTTAGGGTTTAGGGGTCTAGGGGTTTAGGGGTTCAGGGTTTAGGGTTTAGGGTTTGGGGGATATTATACTCTGATTAGACTAAGGAACTACCAAAACCCTATTCTAGTTTATTAAGGCCCCTACATTACCTAAACCCTAAACCCTAAACATCATTAAACCCTGCCAGGTTGTCGGCCAGACTCCAGCTACTGCTCAAGCAGCTTGCTAATCAACCTCGAGTCGCCATGGAAAGAGGTTTAGGGGTATATTCTGCTACTGATTAGAGCTATATAGGACACCTCAAGAAATGGGGAACATGATTGTTGCAGTTATGTACGCATTCGTCAGACATCTTATGGTAAAGGATACAGTCAGGGAAGCTGCACTTAAAACTACTTCTAACCCAAATCAGGTACTTATAATTTATAAACCCTAAACCCTAAACCCTAAACCCTAAACCCTATATAACCATACACGTAGGTCTTCGGGGCTGGATAGGACACCTTGAACCTTTGGAGTCCATGGGTAGTTGTGTAAGTTAGCGTCCCTGTTTGGGTCCCCAATCTAGTACGGCACCCTTATAAAAAGGATCCCTAGAAGGGACCCTAACTGAGAGAACTACCCACATCGATTTCTGCCTTTTCTGAGAGCGTCGCCTGCTCTTAACCTTCCCCAGCCTCCGCTGTTTCATTATTCTGCCGGGGCGCCGCTATGAACCCACCGAAAACCCTTGAGCTTTGAACCCTGAACCTTGAACCATGCCTAAATCCCCTTAACCCTAAACCCTAAACCCAAAACCCTAAACCCTAAACCGACGGTTTAGATGATCTGAGGCATGGAAAGATCCCACCGCGTGCAGCTGCTAACATCCTCTGGTCCATCGTTCCGGCTCCTTTGGCGGTCCATGAAGCATAGGAAAATAATATAATACATAGATAATTTTTCAGGCCCCCCCATACTATAATTAGAGCTTTTTTTTGTAGATCATGCGAATTTTTAGGGTTTAGGGTTTAGGGTTTAGGCTTCCTTCGCCTCCCATTCCTGCAGCCCTAGGGATGTAGAGTTCTTCAGTCTGAGCTCTTCATCTATGTTTTTCGGAAGGTTTGGGGTGCTAACCCTAAGGGCCCATGTGCCCAAATACTTTCTTCGGCCCAAGAGTACCTATAGAGGGACTACTTATAAGGCCAAAGTATAATTATACTGTTTGGGTACATGGACCCTAAACCCTAAACCCTAAACCCGGTAAGGAACCTCGACCCCGCAAACTCACAGTGGACGACAAGGTTTCGCAAGCATTTGGCAAGCAGCTTCCATGGACTACCCCATCTTTGATCCGTTGCGTGAAGGACGCCAGGTCAGGATACAGAACTTCTGTGACCCGAAAGGGTCCATGTGCTCATATGTTAATATAATATATACTTTTAAAACATATCTTACTCCCTACATATAGGTACCTTCGGGCCAAAGTATATAAACTATAGAGTACCTGGAGCCTTGGGATGCGAATCTAGACTTTTGAACTGTGAGAAGCCTGGGAACCCTGAGCTCTAAGAACCCTGTATAGGTTTAGGGTTGCAGGGTTTAGGGATCAGGGTTTAGGGTTTAGGGGGTAGGGTTTAGCGATTAGGGATTAGGGTTTAGGATTTAGGATTTAGGGCATTGTAGGGTAGTATGAACTCCTTAAAGTTGGGGGTTAGGTGGGGGCGCCCCGACGCCCAAACCCAAAAGCCGAACACAAGGTCCTAGAATGGTTGATACTTGGAGGCCCAGCGGGACTTAGTAAGTCGGTTATAAGTAGGATTACAATTGGGGTAACTCCCCTAAACCCCTAAACCCTAAACCCTAAACCCTAAACCGAAATCCCATCCTGAGCAAGGACCAGGCCGGAACTATGAATGCCTTTGACCTGGCCAACTCCCTCTGGGCTGTGGCAAGACTCTTAGTTCCCCAATTACCCAACTTTTATAAGCTTTTTGGGGGTTCCTGGAATTTAGTAGTAACCCGAAAACCTATAGACTTTTTGGGTTCTTATAATGTAGTAGTAATCTGAAAGACCCTAAACCCTAAACCCTAAACCCTGAACCCTAAACCCTAAACCCTAAACCCTAAACCCTGAACCCTGAACCCTAAACCCTAACCTTTTTTCTTTCCCTGGCCTTCTTTGGGGAAGTAAGGACTTCAGGAGGAGGAGCCCGAGGTCCTAAAAGCGGCGCCTCAGCGGGTTCTGGGCCTCCTATTGACTTGGTTTTAGGGTTTAGGGTTTAGGGTTTAGGGTTTAGGGTTTAGGGAGCTCAGTGAGTACACTTTACACTTTTTGGGATTATATTATCCCTTCTAGAACCGAAAGTGTACACTTTTTGGGGCTTATGAACTCAGCAACTAAGTTGAGGATCTGAGTAAGGCTTCTACAGGTTCTGTTTAGGGTGTGGGGTTTGGGGGTTTAGGGTTTAGGGTTTAGGGGTTTAGGGGTTTAGGGTTTAGGGTTTGGGGTTTAGGGTTTAGGATTTGTACGCCTAGGGGTTCTATAAGGGGGTTCTCAAGGGCTACTATAAGGGTTCTATTTAGGGTTTGGGGTTTAGGGTTTAGGGTTCTTCCCTAT